TATTTTGAATCTGATGTGATTGGTCATGAAAAAAGAATTAAGTAGTGGTACAGATTTAGATCTGGGAGTTCTGTACTTTGTTACGAGGATTTCTATATGGAGCCTTTTTGATTGGCTTAGCCTTTTGTTTTGAAGAAGTTTGCTTGTCTTTTTTCTTTTTATATGAGACAACTATAAATTCCTCCTCAGCATTGTCAAAGCGAGATTGCAAATTAATGTCATTTGCAATTAGAACTAAGAGAGAGTTTAAAGCTTGAGGTTTTTCTGTTTCTGTGAGCATGGTACTGGTAAAGTTGTCGATAGGAAGGTTTTCTTTATCGATATCACTAAAAGTTTCATTATATAAAACTTCCAGATCTTCTTCTATTGTTGCTGGGTTTTCTACTGTCTCTTTTTCTATTCTTTTAGAGTTATTCGTTTCTTCTGAACTGGCTAAAGAAGTTTCTTTAGCTTGATTCATTTCCATGCTTAGGTCTTCTGTGTAAACCTCCTGTTCTTGTGTTTTGGGACCTTCTTTTTCTCCTTCGAAGAAAGCAATTCTGCTTTTTCTCTTGTTTGCATTAAACTCTTTAAATTGTAGTCGAAGTTTAACTGCTTGTAAGTATTGAGGACATTCCTTCTTGATATGACCTTTTTCATCACAAAAGAAGCAAAGTTTTGGGGCTAAGTGCCATTCTGTAGTGATTTTGTTATTCATAAGAATATAGAATCATGAAATTCTTTCTTCTAATTTTGGATCATCAGTAGTTTCAAATGTAATAATCCATTAATCTGTTAAATATAGAGTACCCTCAATTAAAAATGGTTTAATTGAGGCAATTTTGCCTATATTATCGAAGATTTCTCTAATTTCTTCTGATATAATATCTTTATTTTCCAATAGAACATTTCTGATCTTGATTGGAAGAAAGGATCTTCTTGCATCCGAAGAGATGTAGCCATAGTATGTTCTGTTAAAGATCTGTATATTTTTTGAAGTGTAATGCTTCAGTTTTTCCTTGTTTGAGAAAACTAGTTCTAAATGAGTACGTGCTCCTTTATTGATATGTGGCTTGGCTACAATTATATCACATCCTGCAGTTTCGTGAAGTGAGATCATTATTTCGTTTAGTGAGCCTGTTAGATATTGGATGTCTATGATAAGAGCATTATTATTTCTTGACTTTATATTATTTCTTGGTGAGAAAGAAGAAAAAGTTAACTGTCCTCTTTTAACTTTAGCAAAGAGGCTTGTCCAAGATTTGTTCGCAGTTTCTTTGCTTTTGTTTACATTAGTTGAACTTAGTTTTGTTAGTGGTGTCTCATATGGGTTTACGCGTATTGTTGTTATTGGTGCTGAGTTTTCATTGTTGTTAGGTTTTTCATTACGTGTCTCAAAATTAGACACGTCCAATTCCTTGTTTTGGTCCTCTCTTTCTTCAGAGAGACCTTTTATATTTTCTAGAAAGACTTGTTCGTTCCAACTGAATGTGTTGTCATTGATGTTTAGATGTTCAGAAACTGCTGAAACTGTAGGGTAACTGTTTGCTATTGTAGTTTTCTTTTTGGAATGAGAGCCTTTCTTGTTGTATGCAGTAGGCTTTTTCATATTGAAATAGTTATTAAACTTAGTTTTCTTGCATTTGTGAACCTCAAAAGTAGGAGTACTACGTTTCTTAGGAACAAGGGGAGATACCCCTGTTCTGATGCTGTTTTTAAAAAGAAAAGAGCTCTTAGATAGATTAATTTTGTTTCTTCTAAATTACTCTCAATCCTAAACGCAAGTGGTCAGAAGAGAGAGATCATACTGGTTTTTTTATATTTAAATAATGTTACAATTTGCATATATGCTTTAAGTTTTTAATATCAGGTAAAATCTAACTTGGTGTACTTAAGATTACAAATATTTAAATTTAACTGATCAACAAGAAACAGTTATCATAATATAAATATAATTTTTAAAATTCATAATCTATAAAAATTGATTCTTAAACCTGTTACTTGAAGATTTTAAAATAACTTATATAATTTTAATAAACTATAAATTTTAATACTATTTAATAACTAAATATCTCTTCTAAACTTTTAGATAAAATCTATACTATCTTGTCACAACAAACAAACAATCTACTACATTATTATTTTTTCAATCTTATTCAAGACCTTTTTTCTATATCTCAATATGACAATATTAAAATATTACTTTACAAAACAACATCATTCTTCTTCATAGCCCTCTCAAATGCTTCTCTAAATTGATTTTATCAACATATATGATTATTATACAATATTCTTTAACAATAATGGAAAAAAACTTAAAACATAATTAAAAAATCTAAATATTCAAAAATATATTTTTTAACTCTATCTTCTTAATCTAATTTTAATACTACCAATATACCTACTATAAATCTAACTATATTTATTAAAAATTGATTAATTTTAGACTATATACTTACTAACTATATTTACTAAATGCCAAGACTATTATATTAGATTTTTTCAATTTTTCTATACTTAAAATTAATTTGAAATAATTAATAATAGTGTTATATAGAAATAAAAATGTAATGTTACATTGGATATCTTAAATAAGTAGCACAAATATAGTTTAGAAATCTTTAATATAATTATTTTTTATTACTTAATAAAGTTTTTATTTTGGAATAACAAAAAAAAAAAAAACTATAAATTTTGTATTTTATTTTTTTTTAGTTTAATTTATTTTATTATTTTAAATTTTTAGTAATTTTGTTATTTATCAAACTAAAAAAAATAAAATTAAAAGGATTTAATAAATTTGTGCATTCCATACAGCTGTGTATAGGATCATAGATTATATGCATAATATACAAATAAATTATAATGATAATGATGTAATGGTAATACAAATTTTATATAAATAAAAAAGTACAATAAAACAAATTTTCTTTTTAGTAAAGTTAGCAAATAAAGCAAGGATAAATCAACATGAATATGAACACTTATTGCACAGTATGTAGCTCTTAGAAATATTGATTTTTTGACTTGACCATTTTACTAAATTTTTTTTGGCCTTTATTTAACCACATGGTGCTTGTACTTATCTCTTAACTTTAAAAACATGTTATTAATTAGACTTATACCAGTAAAAAAACCTTTGAATCACATCATTACAGAAAGGATTATTCATTGACTTGACAGACTTTATCTAACCCATAATACACCTTAATTAAGCAACACTCTTTAATCGAAACATTACTATGAAAGTTGAGAAAGCTTTAGAACTAGAGATGTTACAGAATGAGGATTTGCTTGTTAACTCTAATGATCGAGATTGTGTAAATAAATTACTTACATTAAAAATTATTTTGAACTCACTTAATAAATTACTTACATAACTTTCTATTAAAATTGGTTTTGAACTCATTTAATCTTATGACATTTCCAAATTTAGAATGATCAAAACATATTAATGGAAATTGAGGAGATATCAAACTATTTTGAACTAGTGTTATTGCAAAAAGATGATTCTTTTGCTGATTTTGAAAAGGCTGAAAGCTATGTATATAAATTTGCTGAATATAAAGATTTTGGTGTGCGTCTTAGACATATAACAGCAACTAATACAGTGGAAGGTGACAAAATCATTTGTAAGCAGACAATTAACTATAAGCATTCAGGAGTATATAAGCCAAAAAATCCTAAAAACCCAGGCATCTTCATTCAGCAAATGTGTTAATAACATGTGAATCTCTTTCGTCCTAAAAATAGTTCCTATATTGTTATAACAACTTTAAATAACAATTATAACCATGACATGTCACCTGAGGCTATGCAGTTTAGGAAAACTATACAATTCACAAAAGAAATACAGCAGAAAGTAGAGTTTCTCATAACCAAATGTTATTTTGGTGTAACTGTAGTAAGATGTATTCTAAAAGAGAAGTTTTTATTACACTCAATATTTTTTAAAGATCTTTATACTGAAGTTCAAAAATATTGATCAACTGCTAAAACTATTAAAGAAGATGCTGTGCATTTTTATGAGCAATTGATTCTTAAAAAACATGAAGATCCTTATTGGTTTGTTGAGGTTATATAGGAAAAAGAAACTAATACATTAACTGGGCTATTTTGGATAAACCCAGAACAAATTCTATTATAGTACAACTTTTGTGGAGTAATTGGTCATAATAACACTTTAAAGACAAATAGATATTAGTGTTATTAAATTTGTTTATTCTAACTATAATTAAATTAAACGGTATATAAATAAGGTTATGCAAAATTAATTAATTAGTTTTCATAATCTGGCTGGGTCAAATTTTGGAAGCTTTCAAAAAAAATTTTTCATATAATGACCAGGTAAAGTTTAAAAAAACTTTTAAAACTCTTATTGTTAATTATCTTTATTCTAATCAACAATTTTGTAAAATTTTTCAAGGTCTCAGTGTTTACTATTATTTTAAAGTTTACTAAATTGACTTAAGAAAAACATTTTATTATGAAATATATATGAAATTTTTTTTAAAAAAAGTCAGCTGGGCCTATTTAAATTTCATGTTATAAAAACCAATATATTAAGTTCATATGGCCTAATTATTTTAAACAATTATTCACAGTAATTTTCTAATCTTTATAACATTAATAGGTATCATATGCCACTTTTCTTATTCGTAGTCCAGGATAATAATATGAGTTTTATATTGTTGCTCAAGCCTTCGTTAATGATGAGACAACTGAATCATATAAATGGGTTCTTTATATGATCAAGAAAGCAACCCATAATTAAAAGCCCAATATTATTATAACTGATAGTGATCCTGCAATGAAGCAGGCAATAATTACAAAATATGCAAAAACTAGGCATCTTATATGCATTTGGTACATTAAAGAAAATATTAAAAAATACTTCATAGCAAGTTAAATGATCAATTTACTGAATTCTACTCAGCATTTCAGCAGTGCCATAATGCTGATGTACTACTTACTTTTGAACATTATTGGAATGAGCTTCTTGTTAAATATCTTCAAGCAAAACAGTATTTAGAACATTAGCTTTATAAGAGATACTTTTTATGAACATATGCATTTAGTACATTGGAATTTACACTAGGCATTCAAACAATATCCTTCATTGAGAGTCAGAATTTATGCATTAAGCATATTATAGATAATAATAATGTAACACTATGTGATATTGGTAGAATATTAATTAAATTAGGGGTGTGGGTCCCATAGCTTAACAGTTAAGCTCCCATACCCTCCACAGTCAAGGTCAACGGTTCAAGTCTGGCTGGAGGCAAAATTGAAAGATTTTAGCTT